AGTTGTTATTTATGAGTCAAAAGCTATTTAGGAAGCAGACAGTCTGGTATCGTCAAAGACTTGGGGGAGCAGTTTAGGTTATTAAAAGAAGCTTTGATTAAAGAGAAGGAGTTAATTTAACAAGTGTAACTGGTTTAATTTTTTTTTGTTGGTGGGTTATATTGTTGTTTTTTTCCTGGATGTGCAGAACAAAACACATCCCTGGATCTGTCAGGCCTGACCTGAAGCTGTTAAGACTCACTCAGATGCCCCAGGAGATGGGCAGGTCGTTCTGTTTTCTCTCTTTTGGGTGGTGTGAAGGGTGTTTTGCAGTCCCCAGCCTCAGAAATAAAATCTGGCTGCAAGGGTGAAGTCAGAGGAGCTGCCTTTGATCCTGCCAGGCTGAAAACAACTGGTGTGTGTCCTGTTTCATCTTAGAATATCATTTATTCTGTTGTGTTGGGGGGGGAAGTCATTTGAGCCCCTAATTTTTCCTCAGTCATGGTGGCACTGAGTTGAATCATCCAACAAGGAGAATTAAACCTCATTTGTACTCAGTAGCTCTGGAGATTCTGGTTTCTGTATAAACTGAGGACCTCAGGGCAGGGATTATCTTTGTCCTCTGTTGGTTGAAAATAGGTATTGAAACCTTTGGTTCATGCCAAGGACCCAAAATACCATTAAACTGAAATTTTAGTTCGTTACTTCTTGGAAATAGATAATTTTCTTTCCTAGGAGTGGGAAGGATTTTCTTTTTTTATTATTATTATTATTCTTTGTATAAAGTAATCTTTAGACAAAAGTGCTGACTAAGCCAGGCTGAGGTTCACCTGCAAAAATACCAAATATTTCAGTGGGTAGCTTGAGAAAACAGTGCCACAGTAGGTGCAACATAAATATAAATATTCCTGAATGAAACAATGAAGTTCTCCAGCATAAATTCAAGTGAAAGACAGAGGGGAAAAAGCTCCCTGTGACTTGGGATAAGGCAGTGCTGTGATGCCACAAGGACCAGCACAACCCAGCTCTGGGCTGGGCATTTCCCTGCTTCCCATCCCTCCCTCCTCCAACCCTCCCCAGCCCAGAGGAGAAGAGAGACAGAGAAATTTTAAGACCAGTTTGTTTCTGCCTGTGTTTTTCCTCCCCCTTCCTCTGCCACGCCTGATCCTCGGAGCTTCAGGCTGGACAAACCCCAGGATTCCTACAGATAGACTGGGATAAGGGAGAAAAGGGGGAAACGCAGCTATTCTGAGAAACAAGCCAAAAAAAACCCCAAGCTCTGTTCTGAAGGTGGATTTTCCCATTGGTGTTTGTCCCGAGTGTCCCTGGGGTGTGACCCCTCACCCTGCTGGTGTTAAACAGAACAAAACAACCATGTCACAGCAGGGTGGCTTGTGCAAGTCTCTGTTTAATGACAGTGCTGCATGAAGACATTTGTTGGTGTCGCACGTACCTGGGACGGGCATTTTTACATTCCTGGCTCCCCGGGGAGCCGTGTTTGCACTGCACATTTTCACCACGGAGGTAGTGCCTTTATTTTTCCTGTTTTCCTTTTTTTTTTGTTGTTTTGTTTTGTGTGTTTGTTTGCTGTTGTTTTTTTTTTCCAGCAGGATTTAATAAGCTGGTCTGACCTACTGTAGTTAATTTACTCTTCAGTCAGGAAGATAAACGGTGTAGTGGGAGCGAGCAGGCAAGCAGCAAATACAGTGCAGGCAGAATTCACTGGCTTTTAATTCAAACCTGTTTGGGGGGTGCCAAGAGCCCCCCTCCCGGGCTTTCAGCAAGCTGGGAATCACAGGGAGGAAAAGCAGGAACAGGAAGACTCCAGTAAGCAGAACTAAAGCTTTCAGTTATAAATAATGAATCACAAAACAGGGGCTGTGGCAAAAGGGTCTGAAGTTCTGGAGGGGACAAAGAAACGAAACCTTCTCGTGGGTGTGTTTTAAAAAACAGATCCATCCCCAGCATGTCCTGCCATCAGGAGTCTTTGGGAAAGCAGTGTTTTACTCCAGAGTGGAAGGAGCAGTGAGGTCTGTGTTTGCCAGGTCCAGGTCTGTGGGCAAGAGGCCTCAGGGTCCTTCCTGATGCAGCTGAACTCTGATGGTTCTTTAGAGGTCTCTACAAACATCCTCCATCCCAGCCACGGGCTGGTTGTCCTTGTGTCAGGTGCTGTGCAAGCAGCTGGCAAAGCCTGTCCTTGCTCTTGGCATTGGTTTATTCTGTTTATTCTCTGTGAAGCCAGAGGTGATGGGGTGGTTTGGTCCTCTCTCGGAAAGAGTCCCGAAGGCTCAGGTCACGGGTGGAAAGTGCTTTAGTTTGTTGGTTGGAAGTGTAGGTGGGAAAGGAAAACCTGCAGAGGTGAACAGACATGGCACTGCCACCATTCCAAGGCCTGTGGGGATACAGGAGTTCCCACGAGATACCTTTGAGCCTGGAGTGCTGGGATGTCCCTGGGATGAAGGGTGGGCTGCAGGGGATTCCTCACAAACACTTGAGCTCTAGGAAATGACCCCTGGGTTTCCTGGTCCCAGCTGGCACACACATGGAGGACATTGGCCCTTTTTCAGCAGCTTTGTTTCCTCCACAGTGTTTTGGAAGAGTTTTTCATGTTGTGGTTGAGGTGAGCTGAGCTATGAGGTTCTGCATCTGCTGTCAGGAACTAAACCTTGGAACAAGGTGCACAGTACTGGAGATGATGATTTACCCTGGGTTAACACTGAACACGAAGGAAAATTATGGCACAAAGTTAAGATAATATTCATATTCCTTATTCTGAAGGCTCACACCATGTTTTAGTGCAGGGCAAATATCACCTATGGCAACTTCCAAATGCCTTAAAGCTTTTTTCTGTCTGTATGCATATTATTTTCTATTTTGATTCAGCTCCCCACCTGTTAATTCACTGCGACAAATGGCATCTTTCTGCTTGTAAATATGTCAGAAAATAGAACAGTAACTTGTTACTATTTTTCTACCCAAAAACCTACTGACTTTGTGTCATTCTGTGAATGAAATAAGTGATATCAGCCTGAGCTGATTCCCAACACTGAGTGAACTTGCTTGGTTAAAACTGGGGGGGGAAAAAAGAACAGCCAATGTGTGCCTGAGATCTCTTGAGCCAGTGTTTCCAGTTTATAGCTGTGAACAGACCCTGAAGAGCCAGGTCCAAATGTTACACAAGTCTGTGGGCTAAACATTAAAACCACTGGATATCAGCCCCTTCCAGGAATAGCAGGGTTAGAATGGAAACCTTTTGGATTAAGGGGGGACTGCTGTTTCAATTGCAGAAAACAGCTGAGATTATGTGTTGTAGCTGCTTGACATAATCTCTTCCTGCTACAGAGCTGGAACACACCCTGCCAGCCCAGGGAACTGCTTCGTTGGCAACACAGGAAATCCAGGGAATTAGAGAAACCCTCGGCACTGAATTTTACCCATTCTGAAGCAGAAACTATGTGAATATTCCACAAACTGCATAGAGAGAAAGGGGACTATATTGCTCTCTGGATTGTGTTTTAGCATCTTCAGGAAACAGCAGGTAGGGAATCTGTCTCTGTATTATGGCTATTGCAATGTGCTGCTGCTCCAGAGCCTACAGGAATTTCTAGCCAGGCCTATTTCCGTGTCCTTTTATTCACCTTGCTATGGTTTATTTACAGAGATATTGCAAAACATATTGTGAACTGAGTACAATTAGTAAGTGCAGTGTGGATTTGGCAATGCCAGACTCAGCGTGGTGGAATTATGCTCTTATGGGTTTTCAATTCCTATAATCCATGGAAAAATAGGTATCAGAGAGTAAGGGATGCTGGGAACATCCAGACCTTTTCCAGAGTCCAACTTGGACACAGGAGCTGGTCCAGGCAGGGGCTTTCTTGGGTTTTTATTCTGGCTTTTTCCAAAACGCACAGTTTTATCTCCTTCGGTGTTAATTTAAATTAGGCACAACGTTATTCTGCACTCTCTGCTGAGAGACTGAGGCAAATCAGACCCGAGGTGGTGCTGGGCTCTGTGGCACCCTGATGGAGGTGAGGAGAGCCAGACCTGGCTTGGCTGACTTGTTCAAGCTCCCACCTGAGGGGGTCAGGGCTGCAGGTGCCTCCCGGGGCACCCTGTCCTGGGGTGTCTACATTCACCACACCACTGCTCCCGGGCTGGGAACTCTGCTGGGAGACTGGACACGAGGTGCTGGTGGGCAGAAATCACTGCTGATGAGAGATGAGGGTGTCCTGTTTGATGTACACCATGCAAGACAAGCTACCACTTCCTGAGTTTCTCTCTCCATCTCCTTTTTTTTTTTTTTCTTGGCTTGGGCTCCTGTAATTCCTCCTGTTTATTCATATTTACACCGCTGTAGTGGCCGGACATGAGACTGACGCCTCCTCCTTCCTTCTGCCCACGGCTTGGAGGCCCACATTGCTGCAGGGTTGGGTCTGTGGGTGGCAGAACCTTCTTGACCCGTCTGGGGACCTCTTAAAGTGTTGGTGGGTTGTTTTTTTTTCTGAAGGCTTCAGCAGTTTGACACTGGGTAGGTCAGCTCGAGGCGAAGGCAAAGCTGCTGCGTGGAGCTCCTGCGAGCTCTGCCTGGCTCTGGCTCCTGCTGCAAAGCAGAACAGATGGTCTTGTCTTTGGTGAGAGTGGAGAGACCCACCACTACCTCCCCGTGGCTCTGAGACTGTCTGTGTCCAATGCACCCGAGGCTGGGTGGCCACGGGCAGCAATCGGGCGAGCGTCGCCTCGGCTCCCGCTCCAAGCACAGTGCGAGGGCAGCTCTGAAAAGTGCCCTGGTGGGACTGCTGCCCCAAAGGTCGCCCCGAGGGACGAGGGAACCTCCCCCCTGCACCCCCACCGAGGCGTGGGCATGGCACTGCTGTCACCCCGGGGGCCTCACGCCCGGCACACGAATCCCCCTCCGCGGCCCCCTTCCTTCTTTGGCGTGGGGGGGGTTCTTCCTTCCTATTTTTTTTTCTTTTTTTGTGTGTGTTTTTCCCCCCTTAAAAACGCTGCTGCTGCTGTTTTTTGACTCTTAGCAGTGGAGGATCTTCATGAAAGCCTTGCGAAACTCGACGTTGAAGGTGGTGTAGATAATGGGGTTGACAGCGCTGTTGACGTAGCCCAGCCATGTGAAGGCGCTGTACATGGCCGGGGGGATGCTGCAATCGCAGTGCATGTTCAGGATGTGGGTGATGAAGAAGGGGAGCCAGCAGATGATGAAAACACCTGGGGGGGAGGGAAAGGAGAGAGAGAGACACGCTGTGACTGCTGAAAGCTGGACGGGTTTTTGAGGCCGAGAGCAGCGAGGTTCTTTCGGGTATAAAGGGAGAATGTTTCCCCCAGGAATAAGCTGCTGTTTGCATGTTAGGTCTGGGGCTGTGTTCTACCCAGGTGCTAAAGAACTTCTCTGCTCGTGTAATTAGAGCAGATGCATCAGGAACTCTGGCCTCTGGGGTGCCAGTTCCTTGCTGGGCTATGCCCCTGCACCCAGCTGGGCTTTGGGAGCACAGACACCCCAAAGAGCTTTATGAACCCTTTCCCAGCTGTGCTTTGGGACACCCCACAGAGGGGCAGCTTTATGAACCCCTTGTACTGCACTGCCTGGCTGGGCAGGAGGGACCCTTCCCACGGGCACCTGCTGCCCACAGAGCAAGTGAAATGATTCCTGTGGAGGGCTGGAATAGTCTCTGCTGGCCATCCAGGCTGGCTGCCCCAGGCCTGGGCAGGTGCTGGATGTCTGCAGGAGCACCAGGGCACTCACCAAGGACGATGGCCAGCATCTGGGTGGCCTTTTTCTCCTTCTGCTGGGACAGTTTCCTCCTGGTCACAGCCTTGAGGAAGTTCCTCGTCTTGCCGTTGGGCAGGGAGTGGATCTCGAAGACCTTGGCTGTGTGGTGGGTTTCTTTGGCATGGCCATTCTTCTCCACTCTCCCAGGGCTGTTCAGGGATGTCTGCAGGGTGGAGTTGTTGCCCCTGTTGGGGGCAACTGGCACGACCAGCTGGTGGTTACTGGGTGCTGCGGGTTTGAAGGTGGTTTTCTCGGGGGGGCTGGTGCTGGACACCATCTCCATCTCCTCCATGTGGCTCTCTGCCTCCTGGACAAGAATCAAATGTCCACAACAGAAAGACAGATAAATATACAGAGAGGAGCAATGAACATTCCTTACAGAGTGAGGCTGGATGATGCTGGAGAACAATCAATCCCTCTTCTCCCTCCCTACGTGATGCCTGGAGAAAGGGCTGTGAAATGTTTACAGATATTTTGGGTAGATGGGACTGACAGAACTTCACTGAAGGATTCTCCTTTATTGCACAGAGAGGCTCAGAAATGAGAGAGATGCTTTCTCCACTCCCCACAGATTTTTATTTAGGTTTTCAGAACGCAAGTAAATAAAAATTAAACCAACAAGCAAAACCCAACAAAGCCAATGCAGTCCAGGATTTAAGTAACAGAGAGGAGAAGGAAACCAAAGACATGAAATGTTCAAATGCCGTGGCTTTTAGAGCTGATCTTTAGGTGAGATTAGTCTGGCTTTTTGAACTCTATCCTCTTAAACCCCCTGCTTCACTCCAAGGAATGGGAAGAATATTTAAATTGTGAGATCGAATGGCAACCTTTTGTTCTTAGTTTATTTTTCTCCCACCCTGCATAAATTAACAGTGTGTCCTGAGGGGTGAGAGGGGGGAAGGCTAAATGCTCTGAAAAGCTGCCACTTCTCTGTAACACTCACCACTTTGCGCTTATTAACTTGGAAGCTCCCATTGGACTTCACAATAACTGTGCAGAGCTTGACGTCTTCTGGATGAGTGCATTTGTCCTAAGGGGCAAGGACCAGCTCAGAGGTTACACAGGCACAGAGGGGTTTTGGGGAGGGGAGCTGGTAAGGGAGGCATGTGGAAATACAGACACAGGGCACGAGGCAGGAGTTAATCAGTGTGAGGATGGTGGAAAACCACTCTGGAGAAGCAGTGATGGTGGTGACTATCCCTTGGCCTTTTCACCAAAGGCAGGAAACCTCAGAGATCTGCTGGTGTTTGTCTGTCCCTGTCTCCTCTCCTCGGCATGGCAGTGGCCCTGAGGCAGCACAGTTTGGAGGTGGTGCCCCTGGGGCTGCACTTTGCCTCTGTTTGTTTTGCATGTGCTGCCAGAGCGGGGTTTTTAAGAGCTGTTTGACACCCAGCCTGCTCAGCTGGGCTCCACTCACACATCTGGTGCTTGCAGAGGCTGTTTCCCTGCAGAGGTGCCGGGACCAGTGATGGGGTTTGCACCCCAACCACACAAACCAGTTCCACTGTACCCTGGGGAGACCTTGTGGCACCTAAAGGGGGGTCATGAGGAAGCTGGAGAGGGGCTTCTCACAAGCAGTGATAGGACAAGGGGGAATGGCTTTAAACTGAAGGAGGGCAGGTTCAGATTAGATATTGCAATGAAATCCTTCCCTGTGAGGGTGGGGAGGCCCTGGCACAGGTTGCCCAGAGAAGCTGTGGCTCCCCCATCCCTGGAAGTGTCCAAGGCCAGGTTGGAGGGGGCTTGGAGCAACCTGGGATAGTGGAAGGCGTCCCTGCCCATGGCAGGGGGTGGAACAAGAGGATCTTTAAGGTCCCTTCCAACCCAAACCATCCCTTCATTCCGTGATTCTTCCCCCCAACAGCAGCTCTGGCTCAGACAACGTAGCCTGTATTCCTGGGGTACCCCAACTCAGCAGAACCACAGGAGATGCCCCTCTGGTTACTGCAGCAGCTCCTGGAGCAGATCTGCTGCTGGAACACCCCCTGGGATCCAGGGAGCCCTTGAAGCCCCTGGGAGCCCAGAGTGTGCAGCTGGCACTCCAGCCTGGCACAGGACACGGCACCCACCTTCGTCACCCAGCGTTTCACCCCGTCCAGCCGGGGACACGTGGGGACGGGAGGAGGAGCTCTGGGGAGTGGAGCAGGGAGGGGAAGGGGTGTGTGGAGTGCTGGGAGCAGGGCCCAGGGCCAGTTACCTTCAGGGGGGCCTGTGTGTCCGAGTCCAGGACGTGGCTGCTGCGCTTGGTGGTGACGCGCTTCCTGCGGCGCCGCAGCACGAGGTAGATCTGGACATAGACCAGCAGGGTGACGATGAAGGGCACGTAGAAGGACACGATGGAGGAGTACACCACGAAGGCAGGGTTGGCAATGATGCACTCGTTGGCATCTGGAACACAAAGGGGTTCAGGGTAGTTCTCTCTGCTGCTCGGAGCTGGTTCCCACCTTCCCTGCCACTGCACCTGTGCTGTATCCAACCCTGCCACTGCACCTGTGCTGTATCCAACCCTGCCACTGCACCTGTGCTGTATCCAACCCAGGCTTCCCAGGAGACTGATGGCTGAACTGCCAGTCCTTTCCTCTCCTGTCTCTGTGAAGGTTTTGTCCCATGGCTTTCCTTTTTTGCGTGTTTTGATAGGAGGGATTTTGAATTTGTGGTGGACAGATGTTGTGTAAATGCTGTCTGGTGTCGTGTAAACTTCCCCATAACCTCAGTTCTGGTGAGCCTAAAACACTGGTCTGGAACAGCACGAGATGAATCAGACCCAGGAGCAGCTGACAAGTGGGATGAGACTGGCAGAGAACACCTTAAACAGGGGTGGATACACCCCAATACACCCGAACCCTGACCCCGCGTCCACTCCTGGCTGGTAGCAGAGGGATCCCTGGGGACCCAGTAAAGGTGGGATGGCCAGGAAGGTGCCAGCAGCCCTCTGCAGGCAGCAAAACACTCACCTGTGTTGTTGAGGCCGAAGAGGAGCGGGCAGGAGATGGCAAAGGAGAGCACCCAGACCACGGCGATCATGAGGGTGACCCTGCGCTTGGAGCTGTAGCGGGTGTTGTAGAGCATGGGCATGGCCACTGCTGTGTACCTGGGGGGGACACACACACCCAGCCTGCTGTCAGCCTGCCAGCACTGCCACACTGGCAATCCCACCCAGCCCCTGTGGCTGAGGGCCTGGTCCAGCAGGGGAGGGCAAGGAAAATCCTATTTCTCACATCATGGGTGCCCACAGTCCCTGCTTTGGGGAGCAGCAGGCTGGCCTCAGGTCAGCACAGCATTTTCCTTCCCCCTGATGGCTGTTCCATCATTGCAGACCATAAACAGAAGGACCAAACCGATGTAAACATACACAGAGAATTTAATTTACATTCTCAAGGTCGGTGTCTCTGTGCCTTCTGACAGAATCCCTGCTCAGAGCCCACAGAGATCCCCTAAATTGCTCAAGGCATCAACAGCACTCACTCTCCCCATTTTCAGGCCTCTGAGTCACAGGTAAAATTAGACCATGGAAAGGTGGCTGTGACTTGCTCCCCTGGGTTTTGACACGACTTGCTGGCACGGAGCCCTCACCTGTCTATGCTGATGGCACAGAGGTTGAGGATGCTGGCAGTGCACATCATGACATCCAGGGTCACAAAGATGTCACAGTGGATCCGACTGAACCTCCACTCACCAACCACCTGCAGAGAGAGAGGGAGGGGGCACAGAGTTCCTGGGGCTGAGCTGTTGGCAGGGTCTAAAGGCAGAGCTCTGCACAAGGGCAGAGGCGCTCGGGGGTGGTTGGAGCTCTGCTGGTTCCAAGGCACTTCTCTGCCCCACCCAAACCATTCCTTAGGACATTCCCCCAGTGGCTGGTGGGATTTCATCCTCCCCAGTCCCACCCTGTTGCTCTGTGTTGGTTTGGGCAGCCCAAAGGGCAAACACAAAGCTGGGCTCGCATTCCAGGGACATCAGGGAGTCAGAGGGAACAAGGCAGGGCTTAAACAGGTCTCTGGAGCATCTCAAAGCAGATTGAGGAAGCAAATACATTAACATTAATTCCAAGCACCTCTAACTGTACTTCCAGCTCTTCATTAGACTTTTTTTTGCGATTATACCCAGCAAAGGTCAGCAGTAGACAAGCAGGAGCTTTCCTTCGTTCCTCAGTTTAAGATCAGGGCAGACATTCCTCCCCTTCATATTTTTTTTTTGAACAAAATGAATTTAATTCAGAGTGAAAACTCCTTAACACTCTACATGATGTGCTAAAGACAAAGACCTAATGATAATGCTTCCAGTCACCAGTAGCCTTTTTCTCTTCACTTCTCTTGCTTATTGAAACTGAACTTTGCCAATGAAGTTTAATAGCAATTATTCGGACTGCTGTGTTTGACATGTGATGAAAAAAGTATATTTCCCTCTAATAAAAATAGAGTCCTACTGCATTTGAAAATAGAATGAATAAGATATCTATTCTTCAGTTATTTCTGCTCTGATATACATAACCATAGGCAGCATAAAGAAGTGAGAATGACTGCATTGAAGCCTGAGTGACAGATGAATACTCAGTGATTAAAAAAGCACTTAAGAGACAGTTACATCAGTAACTTTGATGAGAATTTGCCCAAAGGCAAAGGTTTCCAGCCAGATAGAAACCTCTGCAAAATCAGATTCTCTTGGTGCTCTCATTTATGGAGGAGAGATCTCAGAAGTTTGGAGGTAGAAGATCTGTTTGCATCAAGGCTGTTTTTTGGGGGGAGTTTTTTAAGTATTTAATTTTTACATTAGTTTTTGCCTGAGTTTGCGACACAAAGCCTGGAAAAAATTGTGATTCCTGACCAACCCCGTGTGCAGATGAGCCCAGAAAGGGGAAAGCACTTTGCATCATTTATGGCTTATTAAACAAAAAGTGTGTGAGAGATTCTTCTAGCTGGGCCTGAGAGGGCAGGAGTTTCTTACAGCACAAACCTGTGCTTAAAATGGGCTGTGGCAACAGAGGAAGAGAATGGAAGGGCAGAACCAGTCCCAGAGGCACTGACTGCACTCAAAACCAGCCTGTGGTCATGGTAATAAGCTCTAGCAGATGCATGATGCTTTACATTTTTTAAGTGCCATGAAAACAATAATTAACTCGGGTGATAATTAGTATTGTGCTTTCTCGACAGCCCATGTCATGTCAGTGGGTTTGTTTTGCTTTGCATTAGTACTTAATGGGCTCATTGACAGTGGCTTCTTCCCCTGCTCTGCTCTCTGTGTCAGCGTTTCCCCTCAGAAATGAGTGCCTGAAAATTAACTGTAAACCCAACCTAGTTTGGTACCAAACCCCTGTGCCAAGTGCAGCAGGGTGAAAAGCAGCTCACTTGGGATTTTCTCTCCCATATCGTGACATGAAAGCTCTGGATTTACCCTCCACTTCTCCAGCTCCCTTCTCAGCACTGCAGCCCTCCAGAAATAGGGCTTTGATTGCTAATTTTGATTTTTTTTTCATTGCTGGACTCGCTGATCCTTGTGGGTCCCTTCCAACTCAGCACATCTGCTGTGGTTTCAGGGGGACACCCTCGGTGTAGTTGCAGATTCATTCTGGTGTGGATTTGAGAACAACATTGGGGTCCTTTCACTCTTGACCCCTCTGTTTAAAGGCCACATTTATCACAGAATCAACCAGGTTGGAAAAGACCCCAGAGATCATCAAGTCCAACCTCTGAGCCAACCCCACCTTGCCTGGTAGACCATGGCACTGATGCCACATCCAGGTTCTTCTCAAACACCTCCAGGGACGGTGACTCTGCCCATTCCAATGTCTGATCCCTCTCCCTGTAAGGAATTTCCTCCTAATGTCCAACCTAAACCTCCCCTGTACGGTGCAGTTGGACTGAAATCCATCCCTCTGAGCAGCAGTGGAGTTTGTTAAGCCTGCCATCTGCTCTCACACCCATCTCCTGGAAAAACCTGGAGATAAGACACACTCAGGAAACCCGGGAGGTCGCGCAGCAGCCGATTTCCAGACCCTCCCCTCCCTCCCTGCACCTCCAAGCCTCCTACCTCCAGGTAGACCACCCAGGGCATGACCAGGGTGGCCAGCAGCAGGTCTGCCACGGCCAGGCTGACGATCAGGTAGTTGGTGGTGGTCTGCAGGGCTCGCTCCCGGGACACGGCCATGCACACCAGCACGTTGCCGAAGACGATGACGAAGATGAGCAGGGTGAGCAGCATGGCATAGTAGTTGTACTGGGGCTTCTGCTCAGCCTGGGAGGCGTTGAGGGCCCTGCTCCAGTTCCTGTCACCGATGTCACCCTCGTACCAGGAGAGGTTTAGGGGATCCATGGAGGTCAGAGTGCCAGGCTCCGGCTCCGCCCTGGCACAGAGAGGTTGGAGAGACAGTCGAGAGGTCAGCACGTGAAACAAAGATGGAACCACATCAAATATGCTGAGTTGGAAGGGGCCCACAAAGATCAGTGAGTCCAGCAATAAATAAATTAAAAAAAAATATAGCAATCAACCCCCTGTTTTTAAAGGGCTGCAGTGATGAGAAGGCAGTTGTAGAATTAGGTTTGTGACTGAGGGGAGACCCCACTGCAGTCTGCAACTCCCTTGGGAGGGGCAGAGGAGGGACAGACCCTGAGCTCTGCTCTGGGGGCACCAGGGACAGGACCCAGGGAATGGCTGGAGCTGTGTCAGGGCAGGCTCAGGTTGGATCTCAGGGAAAGGTTCTTCCCCCAGGGGGTGGTTGAGCACTACCCAGGCTCCCCAGGGCAGTGGGCACAGCCCCAAGGCTGCCAGAGCTCCAGGAGGGTTTGGATGATCCTCTGGGGCACAGGGGGTGACTCTTGGAGATGGGCCTGTGCAGGGCCAGGAGTTGGACTGGATGATCCTTGTGGGTCCCTCCCAGCCCAGCACACTCTGTGATTCTGTGATTCTCTGGAGCCTGTTGCCCCTGCCCTGAATTTCTGGGTGAAATGTTTGACTGGAGGTGTGATCAAGGCTGAACTGATGCAGGCAGGGATTCCAGAAGGTGGTTTCTTTGTCCAGCTCATCCCCCAGGTTTCTGAGGCTAACAAAGCCAGGGCTGGGGATTCAATCCTTGGATGGGAAGAGCTGGACTCGGAGACCCCTGTGGGTCCCTCCCAGCTGAGAATATTCTGTGATTTTTGAGGTGTCACTCTGTTACAGCCCATCCAGACACAGTGCCTGGGATTCTTGCCTTGGCTCCCCTGCCATTCCCTGCTCCTTGCTGGCTGTGCACAGCTCAGGGCAGATGTGCCATGGCCCACTGTGTTTATTTTCCATGTGCTTCACGGGGCTCTGGGCTGTGTTGCTTTTTGACTTCCCTTTGCTTTTCCTTTTTTTTTTTTTCCTCCAGCAGTGAAATAAATAAATTTTAACCCCCAAGACCCAAATAGTGACAATAATGGAAGTTGACAGCAGCAGTTTTGCAGCCAGGGCTGGGCTGGGCTGGGCTGGCTCTGCCACATCAGCACCAACAAAGAGCAAAGGCAGGAGCTGTTCAAAAGAAACCACAGCTATTGGCTGCTTTGGTTTTGGGGTTTCTGGCTTGAGAGGTCTTGAAGGGACCTTCTTCCCTTCTTCAACAAGGGAAGGTCCCTGGGAGGAGAAGGGAACTTCTCCTGGGAGCAAGTGACAGGATGAGACAACACGGGCTCAGTTTGCACCAGGGGGGTTTAGATTGGATATTGGGAAAAGTCTTTTCCCAGGAAGGGCTGTGAATGATTGGCACAGGCTGCCCAGGGCAGGGGTGGGGTCACCATCCCTGGAATTGTTCAGGAAACACGTGGATGTGGCACTTGAGGCCATGGTTTCCTGGTGACCATGGTGGGGGTGCTGGGCTGACAACGGGACTCGATGATCTCGGGGGTCTTTTCCAACCCAAATGATCCTGTGCCCTCATTCCCTGCTCCTGAGATAAAGCATTCCATGTTTCCCAAGCTGTATCTCCATAGAGACCACTCTGACTGGGAAACCTGGCCGTGTTCTCAGCCACCCCAAAACCAGGCCATTTAATTTCCTTAATAAAAGACAAAGTGAACTCGATTTATTAAAACCACGTAAGTGATCAAAATAGCAAAACATTTGCAAATATCAAATTCACCTGGGAACAATGGTTTCTTTATGTTTCACTGAGCTTTTGTGTGCTTTTCTCATTCAGAGAACAATTTGTATAATAATCCTTGGAAATTTGTTGCATATGGGTCCTTAATAGCTGATAATTCAAAAAGTGTCTGTCTGACAGTGCTATCAGCGGCACTTGATAGCTCTACAAATGTCTTCTTAGGAGCTGTCAAAGTGTCAGAAATTAATTAAATGTTAGCTTCTGTGACTCAGAGTGAAGGGGAAAAATCAATGCTAAATACAGCAACAGTTTTTTCTCTTCTCCTGTTGCCCTTTGATAACGCAAAACTATCTCGAGGAGGCAGAAACATGCAGAAAATGCAGGATGGGGGGGGAAAAAAAGGCAGGGAGGTGGAAAAAGTATCTTGAAAGTATGAAAGGAGTGGAATGGTTTGATGCGTGCAGGGTCAGCCCCTTGGGCCTCTCCTGGCTCCTCCTGAGCTCTGACTGCAGGTCTCAAACCAAATTATTCCTCAGGGAGGAAAGGCTGGAGCCAAGGGGGAGGGAAGAGCAGTTCCAGCCCTTTCTCAGGCTGGTCCAACTCAGTGGTGGAGTTGGAGGAACCATTTGCAGCTCATCTCATGTGTCCATCCCTTGGGAATTTGCTTTATTTGGATTAGTGAGAGTGTGGAAAGCCCTGGATAAAGTGATCAAAAATTCCCTTCATTTCCTTCTGCAAGAATTTTTCTTTCCTTCTTTCAATAGGGCTGCTTTTACAGCAGTGATTTTTGTCTCTATATGCAGCTGGTCATCACGAGGAAAGTTAAAAGATCACGTTTGAATGTCGTAAAATGAAGGGGTTTGTTGTTTCTATTTTTAGGGAAAACAAATTTTCATTTAGGGAAATGAAACGGAAAAAAATTTTCAAATATTTTGCATGAAATATGGAAACTAAACCACCAAGACCTAAGAACTAAAAATGTGTGATCCTGCAATTAAAGGGTGTGTGTAGCACACATCCTCATGGTACAAACTACAATTACGTGGAAAACTCTGTTAATTCCTAACTTTTGAGAGTCTGAGTTTTCAGCCCTAAAAATAATCTTATTTTCTCCAGAGCTGGCATCATTTGGAAGCATTTTGGTGGCCATTAGGGTGCCTGGTGAGTCTCTCAGTCCTGCTTTGAGGAGCACTTTTCATTTTAGTGCTGACAGTTCCTCAGCAGAGAAGAAAGAGGCACTTAAAGAGCCGACTAGAAAAGCAAGTGCTTTTCCCTGTGTTTGCCCAGGTGTCTGCATTGCCGGGGGGGCAGAGGGAAGGGCTCACAAATACAGGGACAAGGTACAAAAGCCCCTGGCTCTGCACTGTCCTCGTTGGGTTCACTGTCCCTGAGTGTTCCCTTCACTCAGGGTGGGGACGTGGGCAGGGTCCCAAATGGAGCCAATTCCCTGTGAATTAACTGCAGCAAAGCCACTCTAATTCCCACCCCGATTCCCCCCGGAGTTTTAGCGTGGCTGAGCTAATCCAGATATGGATTTGCTGAGGGGCCAAGGGCAGGACAGAGCAGCAAGGTCACAGCCTCGTGTCAGCTGCCAGGAACGCAGCAGCATCCCCATCCTGCATCCCTGGAGCATCCCTGCAGCATCCCCATCCTGCATCCCTGGAGCA